ATTTACTTAAAATAAGAGTTCAATTAGTTGTTTTCATGATTTTTACTAACCTTCATTTCTGTATCGGTAAATAGTGTGATATTCTTGCTGGGTTAATGTACCTCACTATTTCATTAATCATTTCAAATCAAAAGAACCAAAATCTAGATCCCGGTTCACAAGAGAGTTGCGAATAAGATGTTTAGTTGTTTACTTTCTATTTATTCATTTGATTATTTGTTATTCTTTTAGAAGGGTTATTCTCGTATCTCTATTGGGTATTCTGAATTATTGTGTAAAGAATGTAAATCATAACGCTATTATTTCGCTTCTGCATTCAATTTATAATTTATTTCATTTCAAATTTCGGATTGTTACAATTTATTTTAAATTTTAAATATGTTTCATGAACATTGGATATTTCAAATTTAGTATATAAAAGATGTATTTAATAGTTTAGATCAAACATTAAGAATGTATTTTTAAAATTTTAAATTTGCTACGTAAAGTACTTTTCATAAATTAGTTTATCATTTCACCACGTGCGTAAGACTAGAGCTCTAGATGAGAGTTCTAGTCATTACATTTTAAACTTCAACCAACTTGAATTTACGTATTTTATAAAAATAACTATTGTCTTCAAATGTTCAACATTCCTATTTTCCTTAACCTCTTGCTCCAAACTCATAAATTCTTTATTTTTAAAACTCAAAACTTAATTTTTTTTTTAACATTTTGCTATAAATTATAAGTTTTTTATTCTTTACACTCAGAGACTTGAATTTTATTATAAAAGGTTTTTTAACCATTATTCAAATGTTTTGTTAGCAATAAAATATAATTTTAAAGATGACAACAATCTCTTTCTTTTAGTTTGATATATTAATTTTTCCAGTGCCATATGCTCAAAGAATAAAAGGATTTTATGGAATTCTTGAAAACAGCATCCCTTATTATACGTTTTCTTTTATTTCATACATATTTTCAATTAAGGTCTTTCATAATCTTTCCAGAAATTAAACTAATAATTTAATGAAAAATATATAAACTTGATAGACTAATGAATTAGTGTTTTTATGTAAATAGCAAAGGGCACATAATCATACTTATAGAAGGGATAACAGTAAGAGTCTACTTCAAGGTGGTTTGAAATGAATTAGTATATTTTGTATAAATTTAATTGAATTTCTCACCTCTATAATAAAATAAATAATTTTTTTTTAGTGGAATTTAAATTTTTACTTTTATTTTATTTTTTTAAAAATTTTGCTTCAACACAAAAGATTTGATTTTAATTTTGAACAGATTGTTTTTAGTTTTTGATAAACTAAAATTAATGTTGAAAATAAATATTTTTAGAACTAAATTATGTTATAGTTAGTGAAATAATATTTCCTATAAAATATATTTATTAATTTTAGATTTATATTTTAAAACAAAATTATTAGTATTATATTGTTAATAAATTTATATTTATGATTTAATATTTAAGTATTTTATTTTAAAAATAATAATTATGGAAAAATTAATGATTATACTGAATGTTTAAACAATTTTTTTAGTATTATATGTTATATTTATTACTACTGTAATATAATTAGTTAAAAATAATTTGATATCTTATATTTATATAATATTAAAATTTAATTTTATTGTATATTTTATTTTCACTTCAAAATTATTTTCCTAGAATTCATTTTTACAATATCTTTACTAACTCATTCTATCTCCGTATGCATGCTGGCTAATCCAAGTCTGGGTTGCTTAAATCCTGTGTACCAAACACCTCTCCTGTCATCGTCTCCGAAAAGCCTAAACCCAGAACCTGAATCGGACTCCAGTTTTCAGCCAAAAAAAATCGACAAAATACCTCCATTAACCGAGGATGCAGAGAGTATGCAGTAAGCTACGGTTTCTGGTGTTGCGGTCTACCCAGAAGCTCGCTCCTGTCTCGTCTTCTCACTGCCTGCTACATTCTTCCTTGCAATCTCACCTACCCAGTCAATTCACGACAAGTCTATGGAGCTCGGACACTACTTTCAACTTGCGAAACTATTATCCTTCAGTAGCTCATATTTCCTTGGGCTCTTCTCTGCTTCCCCGTTCCGTAAGTTTTTTGTTTCTTTGTTTATCCATTTCGGCTCTTGTACTTTATGTTTGTGGCGAAAATAATTAAGAGGAAGTTGGTTATCCATTTTGAATCTCAGTGTAAATAGTAAAAGGAAGATCAAGTATGACATTGTTGGCTGTGTTGAATCACGAAGAGCTTTGTTTCCTAATCTCGAGTTGTACTTTGGGTTGCTGTGGAAATGCTGGATTAAGAAGTTAGATTCCCGTAGTAAACGAGGCAAATGTGACCATTTTGATTAAATAAGTCTTTTTTCTTTTCTCTTGAAAAATTTTCATTTGCCATAATTGAGTTGAGATGTGAAGTACTACTGTTTCATGTACTTCCTTTCATTTACCCATAGTTCAGTTGTAAACTCCTTCTATCCATATTATCTTCTAAGGAGAAGAAATGCTCACTACCTCTGTGTGTATTTGGAGAGATAATGAAATGCTTCCAGAGAGGATAAGATAAAGGACAACTTTGTGATTTTCATTGTTTTGCAACCGTATCAGTTTTTTTCTACGTCTACAGTTTTCAACTGTTCTTGAGAAATTCATCTGTTGATGTCTAGTTGGTTCAAGTGCGGCATGTTTCCTCCCGTGAGCGAGCAAAGAAGAGGAAGCCAATGACACCAGTTAAATCCAAAGTCAAGAAAATTAAGATGAAGTCATATTCGTAGGTTTATGCTGTCTCAGTTATTGGGTTTTCTGTTCTATCATGAGATACTTTTTAGTCTAATTTGAGTAACTGGCTTCCAATTTCTTTGATAGGTCTTACAAGTCAAGATTTAGGACACTGAATGATGGTACAATTCGTCGCTGGAAGGAGGGCAAACGTCATAATGCACACTTGAAGGTGCATCTTTTCTTGTTTAACCCATTTTACCTTCCAATTTGGTTGAAAACCAGATGAAAGTCCAGCTATTTATACTTTTTCTGTCATGGAAAGAAGTCCAGCCAACTTTATGTATTTTGCCTTTGATGGTTTATGAATCTTATCTTGATTTGCTTTTGATTCATGACCTTGAAATTCTTTTATTGTGCTCATTCACTGAAATGCTTTTCCAAACTATTTATAACCAGTAGGGAGGGAATGGATTAATGGGTCTCTGAGTTTCTCATGGCCTGGTTGCTAATTCCAAATTTCGTAGTGGTAGTTTTCTTGCAAAATTTGGATGTTAAATGCTTTTTTTTTTTTTTTATAAAATGGAAAAAACATATCTAAGGTAGTTGGCTGGTCTGAACCATCAAAACTGGAAGAAATTCATGGGATTTATTGATACGAGTTCAATTAGGATGGGGCCTTTGACTGGAAAAGTGGATAAAATTTAGCAATCATTTTCTCTCCTGTTTGTCCATTACGTAGTGAATGACCTAAAAGTCATAGTTTTTTTTTTCTATTATAAAAAAACTTATCTGATCTGTCTTGGTGTAATACTTGAAAGTTGTACATGGTTTCAAAATACTTATGCTTTACAACTGAAGGTTCTTATGGCCCTTCTAAGAAATTCTCTTTTCTTGCTTTCTCTTTTGGTAACAAAAAAGACATTGAATTGCTAAAACAATTGTTGAGGTAACAGAAGCCTCTGGATATCCTGCCACACATTATACTGAGAAAGAGTTGATATTTAAGGATGTATTAGTCTTTCATATGAAAATTATAACTATGTTTATTTCATGCTTGTTTATAATATCTAGATCCTAGCTGCTAGAGGAGGGTTGCATTTGGTTAATGTTAGGCTTATAATCACCTCTCGTCAATGTGATTCTCTGTATAGAACTACAAAACATCTCCCATTGACAAATGTACTGATGCCACTCAATATTTTAAGGGCATTAAGATTTTTAAATTGGTAATTTCATTTTGAAAATGTGTTTGCTCTTTGAGGCTAAGCATCATATGTACATGATCTCAAGTGAGAAGAAATATGGAGATGTTTTTGCTTAGGAGCTTATAATGTAACAAGTGTTTCTATCTAATTACATAGTATGATATAGTACTCTGTGGTAGCCAGAATCATGCTATTAACATTGGGACTATGGCACTCAGTCTTAATCAAAGTTCTCTTGACATGTATGTTTGTTCAAACTCGGGTTAAGTGTGTGAAATCTGTGTATGGATCAAAGTGTATAACTAGATAGTTTTGTTAGACTTGATAGTACTAATCATAGCATTAACAGATTAACTAATTGAGGTAGTAGTACTCATGAGGATGATGCAGCCAGCATAATGCTATTAACATTCTGGAACATGAAATTCAATGTTAATCCAAGTC